AGAGAGAGAGAGAGAGAGAGAGAGTATGGCGAATATAAACTGAAGAATAACAGAAGAATCCCGGTCTGGACTATCCATTTTTTTCAGTAAAAATTTCCTCGTTATTCATCTTGAGAATAATCCCGGTTCCCCTCCTACCTCATCCAAATCTCATCCAATCATTTCCTATGACGTCACAAGAACTTTTCAATGTATAATGTTCTTTAATGTATTTGCTACAAAGTTCTATTGGCTTTTTTTCTTGAATTCTTTAATGAGGACTAATGAAAATGGAGCCAAAAAAACTTATTCCCAAGCCTTTTCTGGAGAAAAAATATAAAAACCTCACAAGAATAAGTTATTGCAATAAATCAAAACTATTGCATTTTACCATCAAATACTTTTTCAAAAATTGGATGGAAGGTTCCGAAGTTTTTAATAGAAATCGATAATAAACCAATTGATTTTTCCATAAAATCTTGATTGAATTTTGAGGTAAAAAACTGAGGTGAAAATTTACGACAAGAAATGTCCATGAATAACACACAAATATTCAATAAAAAAACGATCACGCAACTTTTTTTCTTCAGTCAAGATTTGCTGTTGAATTTTTATATTGTTGTCGTAAGCAAAACGGTATTGAATTTTTCATAGAAATTGGAAAAAAACGAATAGAATGATACAAGTTCTGCATTCCTTCCATTCAAAACATCCTGAGGCCTTTTTAACATGACGTATCTGCAAAATTTGGTGAGCTAGACGGGACGTGCGCTTTATCCGCGCTAGCCAGGTTGCCTGAGATCGATATGTTGTCATTTTTTCAATTCCATTTTTCCTGCTTTTTACCTTCTATAACAACACATAATACCCTTTGAAATGATATATGAGTAGTTTCATTCTCTTGGCCAATAATAATTATAGGAAAATTCCAATCACGCTGAATTTGTAATAAAAATCATGAAATTCAAATTTTGGATAAAAACTTCCATATGCTAATGAAAATTAGCCTTAATCAATAATTCAGGGGTGAATTTCAAGGTAATTTGATATATTTTCACCTGAGCATAAGATATCTCCACAGATTTAAAGAGAAACTGAGCAAATCTCGTCATTATGAGGAAAAATATGGAAATTTTCAAGACGTGACATGCTAAAATCGTTCCATTATCGCTTATGGCAATTGACGTAGTGGATGGAATAGATAATATAGGGTATCAATTTGAAAATCCCAATGAGATCAAATTGACACATGAAAATAATAATAGAAATTGGAAACAATAATATTATTATTATTTTTATCTCAATGAGATCAAATTAACACATGATGGTCAAATCTGAGGTGTGACATCAAAAATGGAAACAATCTTCAATAACGTGATGACGATTGATTTAAATGAGATTCATCATACACTATTTTGAAGAATATTCAATACTCTTCAAAATAATATGCAGGTATCCCTGCCTAGTCCACTTAGGAGCATCGAAAAATCCAAAGCCAATTTTCTGTACTGCTTCTCACGATTTCTCGTCTGGGAATTGGTATTACATACTTTCCAAACTCGAAAACTTGAAAATCACTACAGAAAAATATTGTTCCTGGGCTGTTGCGATGGGGTTTTTTTACTCGTGCGGTTGGCCAGTCCTCGCCTACGGCTGGGAGGCCAACGCCACACGACTAAAAAACCCCATCGCAACAGGCCGGAAAAATACTATTTTCAAATGAAATTTTCAGCTAAAACTGAATTGGACAAATCAGGTGTCATTTTGAAGCTCATCCAATAAACTTGAAATGAATACCTTAAGTGTATGATTAATGAAAAGGAAGAAAGGCTTCAGCATAAAAACTAAAGGGGTTGACTGACTGGCAGTGGAACATCACCAAAATTTCCCCCTGTAGTTGCGGCCAATCCATCGATTCCGATTCCGAGGATGAACTGGAGTCAATGTTGTAGATAACGATCCACGAAATTTTTCTGGACTAAAAATTCATTTTATCAATAATAAAATAAACTATCACCTTCGACGAACTCTTCAGTTGAATAAATGTTTATAACTAATAAAACTCCCTCATGTTCAAATAAAAATTATTTTCTTATCTTTAATAACAATAAATATAACTTTTATTCCGAGTATATGTACTGCACACTCTTTATGTACAATAAAAACGCTACATCGTAACACAATACAATTCAAAACAATCTGAAAAATGGATTCTAAAAAAAAGGACAAAAACTTTTCTTGGTACAAAGTTTTTTAATCAATACAAAATATAACGCATTCAATTAACTAACAAATCTCACCTCAAGCCATGAAACAAAGAACGTAAGTAAAATTTTCAATAAAAATAATTGATATTTTTCATTCTAATGATCCATATTTATAAAATCTGATTCATCGTATCTTCAATTATTTAAATTTATATTTCTTATGGGTTTTCTTCAGGTTTGGTTGCACGTTTAAACTCTCAAGCACGAATTTAACGATTACAGTTATTTAATCTTTTCGTATTCCATTGATTTATAACTCAAAAACTAATGGAAGCTATGGGACCATTACTTTATCATTTATTTGTTTCGTTATTCATCTAATACTTGCCACACATTTTGTTGGATGTTACTCATATATTTAATCGACAGTCTTAGCTCTAAAACGTTGATAATTCTTTTTTTATATTCTCTGAGAATTTGAAAACCTAAAACTGGATCGAATACGATTGATTCATGTGCTAATGAAACGATCTATCACACTTTTCCTTGTTTTTTTAGAAATACACTCATGAAATATTAATTCCTCATTACACTGGAATGGAAGTATTAGAAGCGAAATGAGAATTATTTTTATTCATTTTAAAACACCTATTTTCCTTCCTCTAGACATGCATGAGAGAATCAAGAGAAATAAAATATCATAGGATTGTTTTTAGCAGGATTCGTTAAATTGGCTATCCATTATCATTCCATTATCACTCCTGTCCTTTTCATTTCACTTGCCCTCTCCAATCCCAATCACGATATAATCGTTTATAAAAAATAAATATAGCTCACGATCTATCGAACATTTCAATAAATTTTTCCATTCTGTCGAACCGATATATAAGAACAATACCACCATATATCTCTCCTTTAATAATTTTTCTGTCATTACAATAAATGTGAAGAAATTCACAGATGCTACACTGAACCGGAGTAATTCTTTAATGCTGAAACAACCACTAAGGCAACTATTCATTATTTCTAACATCAGGATTCACTTGAAGAACGCAGTTATCAATTTTATTCCCTTGAATTTGACATCAATCAATCATTTCATTCAGTTAAATTTCGTTCATTAATTTATTTGAGAATTAATTAAAGAATTTAAGGGTTAATAATTATCAACGTCATGGACACGTTGAAATTCATCGAAAATATTACATCTGAAAACTTTAACCAATGGCATCTGCCATGGCACTAACAGTAACAATGATAAATTAATTGTTTCAGTAGTTGATTGGTGAAATTATCGATAATTATGCAATTATTCCCAGAACAAGAGATTTTACACTGGTAGAAATTAATTGAAATTGAATTGAAAGTTTCACGCCGATCGAGTTTAAAATTAAATTATTTTATATTTTTTATTCATATGAGACTCCATTGCCAATGCAATCTTCAACAATTTGGAAATTTCAAATAATAGTTGCCTGAATTTTTAGCATCACGTCAAGTGTTCATTGAATAAAAAAAAAGAAAAAAAAATGAAATTTATCAAAATATTACTAACAGTAACAATGATAAATCAATTATTCTCAGAACGAGAGATTTGACACTGGCAGAAATTAATTGAAATTGATTTGGAAGTCTCACACTAATTTTAAATATTGCAGCTTTGAATTGAGTTTAAAATTCAATTATTTATATTTTTTATTCATATGAGAATCCATTGCCAACGGAATCTTCAACAATTCGAAAATTCCAAATGATAGTTGCCTAAATTTTCATTATCATGTCAAGTGTTCGTTAAATAAAAAAAAAGAAAATACTATTATTGGGTAAAATATAATAAAATTTCATTCAAATCAGTTGATAAACTAACAATTTTTACTTGAAAAATCATGTTATATTTTCTACCAGTGAATAGAAAGACGTCAAGATATTTTTTTGTTAATCGTAGAACGATTTTTTAACAAAAATGCATCCAGATAAAGCCCTCTTGAACCCCTCATTAACAAGATAATTAAATTGAAGATCTCTGTCGATATAAATTATCATTTCATCACTTTCCTACTGATTTATCACTCATCCCTCTCTGAACCTAAATCTCTAGATTGCATCCTCCTATATCTCCTATACTTCGTCTTTACGTTTGTTTTTGGTTCCAATCAGAGAAATAATAAGAAAAACAGATGAAAAATTTCAAATGATTTTCGATTTGTTACAGTATGAAGAACATGTCAGATACGAATAAACGTGCATGGTATTTTCGTGAATTATCAAGACTTCCTGAACAGTATTTCGACGATAGCAATTGGGAATGTGTGTGCAGGCACAGGAAAATTCCATCGGGCCCTTCATTTCTCACGATAACAACGTCAAAAATAAATCTCAAATGTGATGCTAGTGTAATTTTCAATTAAAATTCACGTCTCACCTGTCCAAGAGTTTGATGGTCTATCAATAAAATATTTTTTAATCAGATATTTACATAAATTACAATCGAGCTGTTAACGTGTATTCACATTTCTTTAAATATATCAATTTTTCTCCTCGTCAACTAGATAAAAAAATTAATTTTATAATTTTTGTGCATGAGTTTTCATTTTTGTAGGTTTCGCAGGAATTCCGATAATTAAATAAGGAATACGCGGAATTTTAACGAATCAGGGAATTCGTTAGTTAATAACTCCCATTCGAGTTATTATAATTCTCATTATTAAATCTTTAATCTAAAAAAATACTTGGCTCTCGAACAACACTCAACATAGGGAGTTCTAGCTTTGAAATTGGAATGATTTTCATCGGATAAATGAAACAAATCATAAATTTTCGATCGAGTGGAGTAGAGAAATTCATCGAAATCCAAACACGTAATTAAATTTCACGTTTAAAATCTCAAAAATATATTTTCCTCACGTTTAACGATAATTATAATCCCATAAATGTGTCTCACAATCGATGAAAAATTCTGACAGAATAATCAAAGGTATTTTTGAGTAGTGTTGAAAACGTAAACTCTGAGAGTATTAAAAAAAAAATATGATCATTTCTCTACTCCCCTCGATGAAAAAATCACTCAACCGAATGAATGATTTAATCATACTTTCACGTTCAATCAACCGGCAATCATCTAAAAATAAATAATTTCATTTATTTCGTTAAATTGTTTTTTAAAATCTATTTGAATATCTTATTGTACTCGGACAAAAGGCATTCGATAACTAAATTCTGTTGCATAAGATCTAAAGCCATGTTTGCACTCTCCTCAGCTGGCCACATCAGCGTAGGACCAAATACAATAGCCAAATTTGGTATATGCATTCTGTTGTACTCCTGATAAGAGGTGACTTTCAGCAGATGTTTCAGTAGAAATTGAAGTGTATCGTAATTGGGTGGTGGTAAAGCCTTAACTATCTCCCGAAAACACTGAATCTTGGCTGATGTTTTCTTAAGCATACTGGCGTTTAATGCCTCTTTGAAGAAACTCGATGGTATGAGGGGCTCTTTCAATTCACGAAAGAATAGTTTAAGGGCACCTGTGAGCACGTGGACATCCTCCTCTTGGGACAGAACACTGAGTTTGTATTGATCAACTTGAAGACGAATTTTTTGGATTTGACTCAAGTTACCACTCGCACGGTATAATCCATCAGTCTTCATGTTGTCCTCGTTACTCTCCAGCACTTCGATGCAGGTTTTTACGAATACGGGAACGCGGGGATGCTCGGGGGGACATACGTCGGCGAGATATGAACCGAATGCTGGTTCATCTGAAATGAATCACAATGACAATTTTAACGTATAAAATGAGGACGACTGAGGGTAATACTCCTCACCCACTTTTTTTTTTACAACCACAGACATTTCTGGCACCTTTTTCCAAGTTTCCAGATTTTTTTTGCGTTAGGATAAGTAGTTTTGAGCTCAGGAATCAGAATATAATGCTTTTACACCATGTACCTATGTGAGTATGTACACTGAGAAAAAAAAATGTCTAAAAAATAGAAATTGTATGATTGATCCAAATCGTTCATTGATTGAATAGTCGCAAAAGAAAATGCTATTGTAAGACACAAATATCGATTTAATTTTAATGTTTTCGATTGAAAAAGAATGAGATCTAAACAAAAGTTTTATCTAAACTTTTTTTTGTTACTGTCTACTTTTCAGTACATACAAATCAATGTCTGTATTATCAGATATCTTCTTCGAATAAAGCATGTAATTATCCAATTTGTCAGCATCACAATATCCCGCAAAAGAATATCTGTTCGATTGAAAGCAAAATTCATAAATACAATAAAATATTCATTTGGTCTATGAGAAACATATTGTTGGATACTCATTGATGCGAAATTTTCGCGGTGAGCAGTTTCTTGTTTACGACAAACGCAATTCTTCATCATTTGAACTGATTATTTTTCCATTGCAATTGTGAAAAAAACATTATTTGCGCCGAATCCGAAGCGTTTGAACTAAACCAAAATTGAATTGTATGAAATTGATTTTGTCGCAGAAACAGGTATTTTCTAAATTCGATAGAATAAACAAATTATACTATACTATAACAAAATCGATTTCATACAATCCAATTTTGGTTTAGTTCAAATCGATATTTGTGTCTTACTATAGCATTTTCTTTTGCGACTATTCAATCGATGAAGGGTTTCGATCAATCATAGAATTTCTATTTCTTAGAAAAATTTTTTCTCAGTGTATGTGACCGAGACTCACCTTTATAAATTCCATTTTTAACTAGAGATTCAACAGTGGGCCGCCTCAGGAAGAACCTCCGTAATTTCGCCTTGATTTTCGTCTGCCTCTCAGCAACAGTCCCGCTGAGATCCTCCAGTGAATCATCGAGTCCCTTCATCTTCATCGACCTCGATCGAGCAATCTTCGAAGATCGTTTCGACTCTTCTGAAACCTTGGAATCCCCCGGGGATTTACTGTTACTGGTCTTGCGCATCTCTGGAGCTGGACCGGCGAAGGGCTTTGCTTGTGATTGAGAACTGGATGGCTGAAAATCATACGGATGAAATAAAAATTAATGTAAAGAATACCAAAAAAATGAGACATGAAACTACGAAACTACGAATTGATGCATTCGATAATGTAGTGTAAAACGAGACGTATTAATTTTATTTGAATAGGGGAGAGTCGGGCAAAATGGGACGTTTCGTGATCTTCTCTAATTGTCAATATCTTCACTTATAAATAAAGTCATTGACAATTGGAGAAAATCTCAATCCGTCCCATTTTGCCCGACTCTCCCTTATCATTTTTTGAAAAATATCCCTGTGAAAATAGTATCATCTCCCTAAATATTTATTAAAAACGGATGCTGAAGGTAAATCTTCACTTTACGGTCAAAATTTATTCGGTTATTCCATGTTATGGCCAATCGTCAGTTTTTTCTGACTATATGATCAGATTTTCGGCGCGGTAATTACAGTTCATGACGAACAGGCGCTTCGCGTCCGTCGCTAGATTAATTTATACTATGTTATTTTATTTTAATTTCTTTCCATTTCCGTCTTCACAATTCGATTAATTTAATTTTATTCATTCTTATTGTTATTATGTATGTATTTTTTTTCCTTAATTCACAAGTTGCAACATTGAATGAACAGAAATTCCCCATAAATCACGTGAGAATAGAGATCGACAAACAATTTTCGATGAAAACGTTCCACTGAAATTTCACCAAATTACGTCATTGAAAATTCACATTTTTATTAAAAAATCAAATAAAACAATGAAAATTGTAAATTTTACCTCAATAATTCCACAAGTATTATTGAAAATCGAGTAAATATCTTCTGAAATTTTCAGTTGATTGAAAATTTAGTGTGATTTGGCACTGAATAATCATGTTTTTCTCGTGTACCTGTTGTTAAAAAATTTTGAATTTCATTGAAATTGTGAGTGAAATTGAAAATGTTATAATTATTTCCCTTCTTAATTGAATTTAATGTCGCTTTCCTAACAAGCTATAATACTCTCATCCTGCATTAAATCCGGAAGCAAAAATTAACTAATAAATTAACATTTAATCCATACCAATTTCCTGATAACTCCATGAATCTCCTGGAACCATTCAGCAGCCAATGCAGTATTATCACTCTGAATGAGCACTTGGAGTCCCAGAACAGTGCTAATCATATACACATTTTTCCTACTACTAGCTCTCTCCCCGGGTTCAATTAACGCCCCATTAAGATCAACAGATATATCGGGCTTGGCCACCACCGATGACTGGCCACTCTTCATCACAGTTGTGAATGTCTTGGCGTCTTTGAAAAATAATAAAAATAATTCTGTCAGAACAGCGTACGAAGTGCTCCAGTTCTTTCTCAGTTTCTTTCCATTTTCCGTTATTTTAGTTCGGCTTATCACACCCTCTTTCAGTACTCTCATGTTGCCATCGAATAGCTGGGGCCAGTCATTCAGGGACGTTCCTGATTTCTTCGATGGTAGATCACGATTCGCCAGACCCTGACTCGCAGGGAGTGACGTACTCGATGTATTTTTTGTCAGGGATACATCGTTCGTTGAAATACTGTTTCTATCAAGCTTCTCTTCACTCTGGAGCACTGTCTTTGGGAGAGATTTTCCAGGGGAAATTGTGGGGAGAACCCATGATGATTCGTTGCTGTTCTCTTCGAAAAAGTAGATTTTACCCTCTGCATCGTTTGATGAAAACCACTGTAACATTCAATGAATTTTATTGTAAATTCAGTTCAATTCAATGAAATGGAAACTATTTCTGAAGCATTATTTGGATAGGGTTCTTATTTGAGGTTTTAAGAAAACCACTGCAACATTCAATGAATTTTATTGTAAATTCAGTTCAATTCAATGAAACAGAAATTATTTCTGAGGCATTGTTTGGATAGGGTTCTCAATTGAGGTTTTAAGAATATCTCGAGAGGAATGAGGGCAAGAGCTAATTCCCTAATGAAGTGATGACACGAGTCGAGTGGAGTATAGATTTTCTCTAATTAGGTGATTATCTCCGGAATGAGCAGTTTTATGGAGAACTTTCAAGAATTTCAAATTTTTTTGGAGTTGAGAACATTTTTTGTTCGAACGTTTCGATTTTCATTAATTTTGTCACTATCTAGATGAGCGTTTTTTGGAAGAATTTCAAGAGAGCTTTTTGTAGTTGAGAAATTTTTTATTGTTAACTAGGGGCTTTCGTCCCCTGCTCGCTTCGCTCGCTTCGCTCGCTCCCCCCCCCCCCCC